AGCTTAACTCATACAGTCATTCATAGCTAAGTGTACTGCATTGGCCTTTGCTATATCTGTGAACTCATGAGTGCACGTAAAGTAGATACTAATTTACTCGAGCCTTTTGCATGTGACACTGTATCTGTATTTGGATTAAAGGAATCCTCCAGTGTTTTTTAACCTAACCTCTATTTACCACATATGAAGTATAGACTCGATTATCATGGATAATAATTCAAATTAAAAATGACAGGGCAGGAAAGAACGGAAGAAATGTTGTGAAATACATTTATAATAGAAGCCAGTGGGCAGTTGCTGAATTCTGGGACTAAATGTTTACACTAAATTCATTTACACGAAACTGTAATTCACTCTTTCAGAGATCAGACTAGTTTTATAGAGAAGAATTTGTGGTTAAATTGTAGTTATCTCAGATTTACTCTTGGGTATCAATAAAGTACCTCTGTCTATTTATTTATGCCAGAGCAGTAAAATTGGCAGAGATTTTACTGGCTCCACCCAATCACCATGGAAACCAGAAAACCTTAGGGAAAGCAAAAGTAACCAGAACTACATTTTGACTGTGTTTAATTGAAAAAATTGGACTTCATGAGAACTAGTTATGCAATGAAATTCTTTTTTGTCTGCCTTTTTATTAATGCATTTGAATGAAATGTAAGAAAATTCAAACTTTTATAATCCTTTAAAAAAGGACAAAATCATTAAAAACTTTCTAAGTATGTACAGTATGTGCCTAAAAACCCAGCACCCTTAAAAGAGCAGTTGGTCATCCAAAACAAATTAATTCCTTTTTTAGCTTTTCTTTGCACTTTGGCGTTGCTTTTTGTGAAATTTTTTATAATCTTTTTTCATAAACTGAGTGTACAGATGGCGTTGGCATGCTCGCACGGACTTTCCCTGTACTTTTACTGTTGGTTTTCTGTATTTTGCATATCATGTCATGTTTTCAACTGGTATCAAAGTGTAGTAAGTTCGTGGGTGTTGCATCATCTCTTGATACTCAACATTACATTTTTTATGGCATTTGGCAGACGCTCTTATCCAGAGCAACTTACAGTGTGATCATTTTTTTTTTGTTTACACAGGTAGGCGAAGGTAGTGTTAGGAGTCTTGCCCAAGGACTCTTCTTGGTATAGTGTAGAGTGTTTACCAAAGTGGGGTTTGAACCCCAGTCTACAGTGTAGAAGGCAGAGGTGTTACCCACTACACTATACCAACCACTACAACATGATTACTAATCTACATAGAAACCGTCAAATGGTTAAATGGCTAAATTTGCTGCCACTCGGTTTGCTTGAACATGTCTATGCGGACCAGTGAATGACAGCAAAATTGGGAAAAAAAAAACTTTTTTCATTTCCATTAAAAGTTTTGTAAAGAGTTAGATTGTTGTTTGATTGCGAAGCCTAAAAATTTGTCCTTTTTTGACCATTTTTGGCTGAAACTTTTTTTGGTGGCAAGAATACGAACATAAGAACAGCTTTATTAAGATATTCTCTCGGTCTTTCTCATCCTAACTATTTTTAGAGTGTAATGGTTATAGTTATATATTTGCTTTATTTATATCCCATTTAGTGCCCATTGGCTTCTGTTCTAAAGTTTGTGTAAGTTTTCTGTTGTTTTCTAAGTCCAGACTCATACACTGAAGTTACTGTCTGTGCACTACAGATGTGGCAGATTGCGATTAGGTTGAAAAGTGTTGGAGTATTCCTTTAAGCTCAAGCCAAACCAGTAACCGAAAGATCTGTCATGTTATTGGCACACAAGCTTTGCATTTGGACAGGCATCAAAGGCTTCAGTAAATCTAAAATCCATTAAAAACAGTTACTGACCACCATCCACTACATCGCTTCAGTGACCCACACGGACTTACATGTAAACAGCCCATTTTCTTAAAGCACCTTAAGCACCGCTGTCATCCTGAACTGTGCATTTGTATCCACATAGAAGCCAAGATTACATTTATTTACATACATATACATACATATCTATCTAATAAATATCTAATTATATGTGTTGTACTTGTGTTTTGACCGCACAAGCCGATGCTTGCAGCTAACGGATGTCCTGTGTACGTTTTTCAGGAGAAGACGAGCGCTCTCAGTCTGAGCAACGTGGCCGGCGTCTTCTACATCCTGGTGGGCGGCCTGGGCCTGGCCATGCTGGTGGCTCTGGTCGAATTCTGTTACAAGTCGCGGGCCGAGGCCAAGCGCATGAAGGTGGCAAAGAGTGCACAGAACATTAATCCCACTTCCTCGCAGAATTCACAGAATTTTGCCACTTATAAGGAAGGGTACAACGTATATGGGATCGAAAGTGTAAAAATTTAAGTGGGGTAGGATACACGGCCGTCGTCCCTGATTTCTCCCCTCGTGCACGCTTCTTCTCTTCTTCTTCTTTTCTTCTTCTTCTTCTTCTTCTTCTACTTCTTCTTCTTCCTCCTCTTCTTCTCTTTGGCTTCCATCTATTCCCTCATAACCCCCTGAATGTTCTATTGAATGAGGAGATATTTTGGACGAAGGTGGATCGTATGTAATGCTGTATGGGTTTTGGTTCCTATTCAAAGACTCCTCCCTTTTACTCTTGACCCTTTCCCTCCCCTCCTGTCCTCTCCTATCCTCTGCACCCCATAACGAAAGAAAAACTTTTCTTTCCATATTTCATCTGAGCCTGTTCCGTCGACACCATCGGCCATGTATGACTGTTCTACTGCTCCTCTACATGGCCATTCATGCCTGTGATATGATTTCTTGACTTTGCTTTGCTTACAAAACCGTCAGTGACCATGAAGTACTTGTTTGTGTCTCCAGTTTGGATGTTCTCTCTCATGAGTACTTGGTCCACGTTGACTTCTCAATATACAGCTGCAGTGAGAGTTTGGGGACGCCTCGCTTTTCAGAATGTTTACTGATAATTGAGCATGTTCTTTATGTTGGTTTTGAATTGCAATGCATATTTTAAACTAAACATGTTTACTTCTTAGGAAAATAATATCATAAATGTAAAAAATTTGTGCCAATATTAGTGACAGTGCTATGTAGGGAATAAAACCAAGCCCTGCCCATTTTTATGATGTCATGACTTCAGTGATCATCAGCACTCAAACCTTTCAGATCTTTAGACTTGCTTATATGGCTGGCCTGAATAATTCAAATACTCAAGTATTTGTTTGTTAGGTTATGTTGCTAGTCTTAAGACATCATTATTATTACATGGAAAACATCAAAAGTTAGTTTAGTTGCATTGTAAATTCATGTCTGGCATCCGTCTTACCTCACCTCCGAGTGCAGCAAACTACACTGCTTTCGACATAGCCCCCGAAGCAGGAGCAGAGATGGCTAACAAATGCAAGAATAAACATTCCCATACAAAAAAAAATGGGCCAAGTCTAAAACTGGCAAAAAATTAAGCTTTTTACAGGCCTTAACAGCAAATCATTATGCAGGAAATGAGCAAAAATTAAACTAATAGGTGCAGTAAGTTAGAGTGGTAGAGCTTTCCCCATTGGTTTCTTCAAATGTTGAAGTTTTGTGTATAAATGTGCAGACAGTCCTTTACAGAAAGACGAGTCAGTATTTTCCCACTTAGCACTGATTCACACAGCTGAAAAACACTGCCCAGCTAGTTTGTGTTTAACATGAGACCAAATATTCACTATAGGGTTTAACTCTGGACCCATATTTTAGGATTGGCTCCTTTTTTTTTACACAGGAGTGTGCTCAGTGCAAATTTTGCGATGTGGCTTGTGTACCACGCAGGAAGTTTGATGAATCATCTCAGATGTGTAGTATAGCAATCCTTACCCGAGGACCGCCATGCGTCAAATCCACACTGCCTCCGACTCATATAAGACGATAAATGTACTTAAAACATTAGCATATAGCTGTTGAATGCTCGCGAAAACTTTGTCTCTGTTTTATATGACTTAAAGTGTCTAATTTATAGTCTAATCTAATTTACACAATTTCACTCTTACCCCAAATATAGTTGATCAGCCAAGACTCGTTTAGTGTCTGAAGCTAGCTTTATTTAGTTTTAAGCTGTAGCTAACAAGTAATGTAACTTATAGCTACCTGTTAGCATTGTGCAAACTGCACCTAAATCATCATAATCTCGCCTCAACATACAAGAAACATACTGTTATCTATTAAAACTTATAGCCAGGCTATGAAAACCTTTTTTGCACATCAGCTACATTAGAGAGGAATTCAGTCCTCTGCATAATTAACTGGTTAGCATCCCAACAACTGAATTATGCAAAAATGTAGAGAAATCAGTGGAATCCTCTTTTATGAAGCCCTCAATGTGTCTTGACTGATGGACTTCGTTTGGGTTCATGTATAAAATTGTGTCAATTAGATTTTGTAAGCTAATTAAAATGAAATAGCAAGAAAAGAAAGCAAGGTGTCCCCAAACGTCTGATGTGCAGTGTAGAAGGTAGAAATGGTTTAAAGGGTTTTTTTTTGCCTCACTGGTCATATCTGTGATGTGTTGTAGGTGACCTTTTCGGACGCGATGAGGAGCAAAGCGAGGTTGTCTATCACTGGTAGTACTGGAGAGAACGGCCGCGTGATGAGCCCAGAGTTTCCTAAAGGCGTGCCCGCCGTACCCTACGTCCGGCCTGGCGTGGGCATGAGCGTCAGCCTAACTGACCTGTCCTGAGGGATAAGACCCTGTCGAGTGCCTTAAACAATGGATTTCAATAGAGCAAGTTCTTTCCCTCACCCCCTCTTCTCTTTTCTTCTCTCTCTATTTTCTTTCTTTCTCTCTCTCTCTCTTTATCTCACCCTATTTATATGAATGGGAAAAAAAGACATTGTCCCTCCTCCAGCCCTTTGAATAGACTCACAATGCTATCCCAATTACATCTATCCCAACACAATAGGGCCGTATGTAACGGGTGACATCATTCCCCCAGTCGCGGAGAGGAGAAAAGTCGACTGATGGAAGTTTGCACGGCAAGGATTCCCCACGGGTGGGAAAACAGTCATCGTCTGAAGATTACTTGTGTTTTTTGTGTGTTTGTAGCTACTTCCACACCCCCAAAACCTTCATGTTGGCTCAAGCACACTTCATCAGGATGTGCAATGTTCTTTTATTAATAAAACAAACACAAAAAATAGGTATAAAAAAGTATTTTTTATGTATTTTCACACAAAAAAGGCTTTTGAAGAGATCTGCTTACATACCAGTTGCATATATACTTGTACATCTTTAATCTCTGCGTACTTTTAAAGCGTAGCTATCATTAGTTTCATACTTTTTAAACGCCAAATATATCGCTTATCATGTAATTTATTCTTAGTCTGACAAAGTTATAACTTAAACTCATTAACGTTTTGGTGTTACGATGATATAAAATATCTAGCAATGCTTGACATTTGGAATCTGTTTCTAATAGTGGTGCCGCATATGTTAATATTGATTTCATCTCTCTGTTTCTTTTTTTTTCGCGAATCTGGTTGTATTTTCTTTCATCAAAGATCAGGGTAGCAATTCTGATGATTAAAAAAAAAAGATGAAAAAAAGTGAGTTTACAATATTAAAGCAAAAAAGAAAAAAAAAGTACCTTATTGTATTATTGCCTAATGTTTTGGTGTGAATTGAATAGATGCATACACATCAACAAACCGGTCTGTTTAAAATGCCAAATAAGTGAGTGTGCCAAATTATTACTGAATATAGTCTTATTATAATCTGTCATCAATGTGAATGTAGTAAATACATTCTGTAAGTTTTTGTAACTAAATGTACAGTTTGATGGCCTACACAGTGACTCGACATGCGATTCTCTATTTAGCTTTTTATTTTCCGTTTGGTTTACAGTTCAGCACTAATAGCATCATTTTATTTCATTTGCTTTTTTGGGTTTGTTTGTTTTACCCTCGTATTTCCATTTCCATGGCGTCGCTGAGGTTATATCCTACTTAGAGCTACACACAGATATCTACTTCATTAAATTAATTAATGAACTGTTAAAACATTTAACCATCCGGGCTCCAAATCGCCTTTGTTTGTTTGCTGTTTACAGTAGGCCTGTTTGGTGCTATTGGACATTCAATTGGAAGTCGACAATGAGCACTGTTGGTCAATATTTATTACGTTATATAAAAATCATTTAAAATTATACCTAATAACTGTAACACGTAGGTATTGCCCATTATGAGAACATATACTGTCGGTCCTCTGAATCTTAAAGGTGAACTTAAATATTTGCACATTTGGAGATTTTTAAGTGTTTTTTTCTTTCATTGTTTTATTTACTTTTTTTTTCTCCATCATATATAATCCCATTGGTTTTTGCCTTGTCTCATGTTTTTTTAATAGAAGAGCAAATGTGTACCTAATAATATCACTAATATCAGTCTTACTTCTCAGTCAGTTTCGATCAATTCAATCTCGTTTTCAGGCAGTTCTGTCACTTTGTAAATGAATGTGTGCCAACTTGTTTATTTTTTGGGACTCTTTCTAAATAAAAAGTGACTAATAATGCTGTGTGAGCTTTGCTTTAAATGGAGATGCTGGGGCGTAAAAGTAATTACAAAAATGATGGTCACACTTTATTTTGAGTGGTTTTTAGATGAAATAAACACTAAACAGACTCTCAGTAACAATAACAACACAACAATAATATAGATTCAGTAGGTTATCGAGAGACTTTCAATTAACTGCATAAATAAAATTAGTTTATAATCTGATGTTTTTATTTATTTTTCTCTTTTTTTTTATAAGTTCATATCTGTAGATGTTTGACCTGAGAGGAACTGAACATGTAACAGGTTTAATACAGAACATCCTCAACAAGCTGTTATAGACGAACTGACACCATTCTGTACCTGGAAATTAGCTGGATTAGGTTTTGGGTTGAGGTTAGGGTTAGAATTAGGGCCAGGGTGAAGGTTAGGATTAGGTTTTAGGTTGAGGTTAAGGTCAGGGGTAGGATTAGGGCCAGAGTGAGGGTTAGGATTAGGTTTACAGGGTTAGGTTTTGGGTAAGGTTATATAAAGTCTACTATCTCTTCAAGATATTTACCGCTGTGTGTTCAGATGCTTCCCTACTGCTACTTTACTGATATGCTATTGATGTGTTACTGATACTCTGTTAAGAGTTTATCAATCATCTACAAAGAACCGCTCAAAATAAAGTGATAATCTGGACATATTGAAGTTGTATAAATTAATTCTGTATATTCATTACAGTGAACTGAAACTCCTCCCTCGCCAACTATCGGCCACTTCGTCACAATAAGACAAGCAAGTTTAAGCGTCCAGAGTCCATAACTGTAGGCTAGTTCTGTGCCCCAAAGTGACCTAATCTTATATTTTAAACTTCAACCGAGATATTAAACTCTCACATTTTGAATTAATCCCATCACTGTGTATCTCATTTGTATGGTTAGTAAATTTTTAGCACCATCAAATCTATTAGTGCACAAAAATCAGTCAAGCAAATTTTCCCATCATTACTGACACCACCATTCTGAACACACACCATTAGCTAAATATGCTAACATGGCTAACTATGAATGGAGGCTAGTAGAAGTAGGTAGAGTAACGTACACCTCTCCTCACAAGATTGTACGTGACTCATATCTGGAGTTATGAGGCTATGAAGAGGGACTGAGATACAGATCATCTGCCTCTGACCACGTGGAACTGGTGCATTCGTGTGTCCATCCACATTTTGTGTTAAACTGACCAATGGGCACTCAGGAAATCTCTAAAGACTGACCCATCACGCCGGAAACCCTTCAATCTTCATTCAGTCCACATCGGAGGCACATGAAATGGTGTGCAGAGAATTTACAGCTGCTGAAGTTGCTGCAGTGGTTTTGGAAAGTAGTGATGAAGATAACGGAGCATTTTGATATGAAACATATGAGTATCATGTTATATGAAGAGCCTTCAAAGGAGAATTTCAGAAGATATGCACTAATACACAAATCTAGAACATGTCCTCAGACCCCAAAAGATTAAAAATCAGAGACTTCAAGAATTTTTCACACCACATTATACATCTTTATGTATTGTACAGACTCAAAACGAAGGTCTGCCTCAATGTATAGGTTTCAAATGATCTCGAAATTTTGACAATAATAGATAATTCACTCACATCCTCAAAAGACTCGGCCTTCACGAAGTTTTGACTGAGTTCTCTTTGAATTCTCTTTCAATCATCAAATTCATCCACCCGGGGAAGGAGGCCAAAAACACAGCCATGCTTTAAAATGTTTTGCACAATTACACATTTCCATCAGAGAGGTTGCAAAATCAATTTCAAGACAAATGAAGAGATAGCCACAAAAAATGCAGAAAGGAAAAAGAGAAAAAGAGGAATACAGAAAGGGGGAAAGAAAGAATACAAAGTAATAGAGTTATATATAGAAATAAAACAGGCAAAGAAAAAACAAATGCAAAAAAGGGAGAGAGAGAAAAGAAGAAAAGAAAAAGACTGCAAAAAGAGAGAGAGGTTAGACAAAGAGAAAAAGCAAAAGAAGGGAGAGAAAGAGATACCGATAAAAAAAAGGAAGAGAAAAAAAGAAAAAGAAGAGACAGAGAGAGAAAGAAGAGAGAGAGAGGAACCTAACTTCTAAGTATAATATCACTCAAATGTTAATCCCAGATTGAGTTTATAATTTTTTGCGATTGTAGCCTTAAAATAAAAAATTAAAAGGCTAAATAGTGAAGAATATAATAATGTTAGATTTCAATGCACACAGTCACTAAGAGTTACTGCTGAAGAAGCTGTTTAAATGGTCAGAAAGTCCATAAAAATGACTGTGTGTGTGTGTGTGTGTGTGTGCGCGTGTGTTTCTCTCTGTGACGTCTGTGCGGTTGTGTTAATGAATGTCACACTTCTCCCTGAGATTATCCCCCCTTCTTCTCTTTCAGCCCATATGCTGCTCAACAATTCCACACACTCATTTTCCATTTCACCTCAGAGTTAATTACGGTTTATTAAAGTCATGTAGCTGCCGCGCTCCCACCTGAACTGCAGGTAATTAGGACAAATCGACCATCAGGTATGGAATGGGGACACATTGGGGAAAATAACAATATACAACTGAAAGAAATCTATGCCATAGTGCTTTTGTAATCACATATTTCAGCCATTTTAAGGTGCACAGGTGTTCAGTTGCACACAGTCAGATTCTGTAATCTCCATAGAAAAGCACTGACCAATAGAATGCTGAGCATCTGCACATGAGCCTAAGGTCACCATGCCCAATGCCAAGCATGGGTTAGAGGGGTATAAAGGAGGATCGGGCTGTGGTGCAGTGGAACTGCATTCTCTGGAGTGATGGAGCTCCAGAACTGACCATCCAACATCAGTACCTGACCTCACTAATGCTCAATCAAATCCTCACAGCAATGTTCCAACATCTAGTGCAAAGCCTTCCCAGAAGAGTAGAGGCTGATATTGCAGCACAAGCTCACTATTAACACCCTTCATTTCAGAAGAAACACAGGAGTCTACAAACATTTTAGGTTTCTAGCCCTGAACTGTATTTTCCTCTCATTGGAGAACATTTTATAGTCATTTTGTAGGCTTAATCCCTGTTTTTGTCATTTATCAATACCACTAAAAATAAAATCCAACATTGTGTCCTGGTATGGTAACCTCTCAGTTAAGCAAAGAAACAAGCTGGCCCAGGTGGTCAACCAGGCCAGTAAGATCATTGGAGACAAACAACTGTCACTCCAGAACTTACACATTCGAACCATAACCAAAAAGGCAATCCAGGTCTACAAGGCTGTGTGTGTGACAAATTATATAGATTTTGGTAATAATTTTATTTATTTTTTTAACCTCAAACATGACTGCAATAAAAGTAGTTATTGGTCTAAATCATAGAAAACCTTTAAAAAAAACTAAAAACAAACAAACAAAAAAAAACTAAAAAGAATTTGACATAATAAGTGAACATGGATAAATGTGCAAAATGTACCATTAACTCCCCAGTCCATATACGAAAACTAAACTGGATAAACTTTGGAAACTGTTTGGAAATCATCATGATTTGCGGTTTAGCTCCACCCTTTCCTATTGAAGTGATAAGAAGTGTTGTTACTGCAGATGAGGAAGCCAAGAAATGAATTGTGACTCTTTTGGTACATAAAATCAAACAAAAAGGATCTCCTTTTTTTATCAATCAATTAATTAATCAATCAATCGGTCAACCTTTATCTGAACTTGTAGGGTGATGACTCTCATTACTATGTAGCTGAGCAAACAAACAAAAAAATTCAACAAGGGATTGAAAAGAGTAAATATGAATTGGTAACACTTTATTTGAATAGTCCACTTTAGATGCTTTGTAGATTCTTAATTTACTTTCAAGTTAAATTCAACTAAATATCTACTAAATTGACCATCATTTTCTTTAACTATAAACCTGGCTCTAATCCTAACCCAACCCTTAACCTTAACCCAAAACCTAAACCCAACCCTCACCCTGGTCCAAATCCTAACCCTAATCCCACCACTGTTTAGAATCAACTTTTTAAACA